TTAAAATGTAAATTAGCAAAGACAAAATCAGTTCATGAAAATAAGCGGCCATTTATACAAGTCAATTATGTTTACCCGTGACTCAACTTATTCGACCGAGCAGTTTGTCACCAATTATAAGTTCCGACAAGGAACATATACCCAGCTCCAATTCATCAAGTAAATCTGATATTACTTCTGTGAAAAATGCAAGTTCTTCAATGAGGTAACTGATTATTTTATTTTAAATATTTTATTATATCATTGCAGTCATCTGCAAGAAAGCGTTCGGTAATCTGTTTGCTTTGGATCTAAACTGTGCCTTATTACGACTTTAGCGTCTTACCTCGCATTACAAAAATTTGCTTATTTCATTTTATCGTGTGTTTTTTTGCGAGTATAATGTTTTGTTTGAAGTATGCTTCACCAGTGTTCTTCATGTTTATTTTTGTTTAAAGAATTCAGATCGTTGGTGCAGAAAATACGGAAAACATTAAAAGAAAGCGCTCAAGTCTTAAAAATGATGATAGTGAGTTATCAACGAAAACTAAGGAAGTACACATCCATGCATCATCCCCAGTCGCAGATTTAACTAGAGATATTAATAAATACGAATTAAAGGAAAATAATGAATCAAAATTTACAATAGACATTGCAAAAAAATCAGAAACGCTTGATTTTTCCAAGAAACATAAAAAACAAAGAATGACTTATATTCAGAAACCAAAAAGTTAGCGTTTCAGACGGGAGTGATGAAAAATCTAACAACCAAGTCCAAAATAATTTAAGGCGCTTTGAGCAGAAGAAATTAAATGTAAAAAACAGTTTTCATAAGATTGAATATAATGAACAAACAAAGTCTGAAATTCAGCAAACAGTATCAGTTCAAATACAGGAGTCATCAGAAACATTTGGCGATCACGTCAGTGAAGTAAAACATGAACAACAATCCATAAAGTATAATAGCGTCCATAACGAAATGAATAAAAATCCACTATTAGATAAGGTAAAGCCGGGAAAAATAATGCAAATACCAATGTGCTTATAGATGTTGATACATCAGATATGTATGAAGGAACTTTTAAAGATATTGCTAAAAAGATGAAACCTCTGGAAGATTGCGTCTTATATAGTAAACGCGTTCCTAATATTTACTACGCTGAACCAACGTCTTTTGAATCTGCTCCTCAAGGAGATATTCCAAAGTTTTGTACAAATTGTAAAATATCTGTCGAAAAAGAAAAATTCTGCAGCAATCATGTTCATGAGTGCTCTTATTTTAGTCGTAATAATATTTCCAGTCCAAGACCTTGCAGAAATGTAGAGATGAAAGATCTGATGTTTCAGTAATTCTAGTGTTAATTCTTCAAATTCACAACGTAGTAAAAGGAACAGGCGAAATTCAGGGAAGATCAACAACATCAACATTGAAGACATGGATGAGAATGAGTTATTTAAAAAAGTGTGTAAAAGTTTAGGTGTGCCTTTAACGCCCATTAGTTCAGATGCTGAACGTGGATTTACGAATAGATTTTTTGGCAGTAAAGAAAAGGCAAAGCAAGTTAATACATTTTCTTTGGGCAGTTCACCCAAACAAAATGGTAGTAGTGACAAAGGACTTGAACTGACAAATACTAATTTAGATGAATCTGCACTATCGACGTTGAGTGATAGTTCTAGAGATTGCGCCACGCCTGATTCTTTGATTCTAAATTCTAGCAGCTCTTCTAAATCAAAATTATAAGGTTTGCAGCAATATTTTTGAAAATTTTTAAGATGTGTTGTAAATGTTGAATCAAACAAAAAAGTAATGTGAAATTAAAAGAGAACGTGTAAAAATATATATCTTAAAGCATCTATTAAAACATACCTAATAAAAATTAAATGAACTTTTAATTTACATACATAAGCACCTCATTAATATAATCTTTCTTTTGTCGTCGTCGATTTTTGTTATAAGTTATTATATTATTATTAAACTGGTTCAGTCATATATTAGGTATTTTGAATTTATAATGTGTTTAAAAACATTATCATTAAACAAACAGCGTTTTAGGTGTGAATTTTTTTACTGTCTCCGAATTTCATGAAATTTTGGAATCAGGTTCATCTTACCCTCAAGTTCAAAAGTGAAAACAATTCACTTGACACAACATGACACCCCTTCTCAATTGTGTAATTACATTTTTCCAAAATAACGTCGGAAATCGATAGAAGAACTAATTATAAGAAAAAAATATCAAAAAAAAATACTTTTCAAGTTACTGACCACTAAAGATTCATATATTTTTGGCGTTTTCCTTCGTTTTTTTTTGCAAATATCTCCTAAAATATACATTTTAACGAAAATCATGTAATGAACAAAATAATGTCAATAAAAATTTTAATAAATCGGTATCACACGAAGTGTTCTAGGAAAAATATTAAGCAAGATTTGAAAGAGCAAAGTCGTTTTTTATTTCGTTCAAGATTTAATTGCTGTATTTAAAGCCATCTAGTGTTGAGGTTTTACATTTTCTTATACCCTTATATACAGTTATACCCTTTTTTCCTCTCCGTTTACTGCACTAATACTAGAATCACTTTAAGGATTTTAGATCAAGCTAGACTTACGGTGTGAAAGCAAAAGATTCAGTTTTAAATTTTTATTTTAAGAAAAGTTTATCAAATTTAGAGTTTTTGTAAGCATACTGGAGAATAACATGCTTGAATAAAATTATAAAGCAAACGGCGAGACCTAAAAAATTAAGCGAACTGGCTGGATCAGGCTTTCAGGATAGTTTGTAACTTCTTGCAGAATTTGAAATTGTTTTTCCATGTGAAATCCTTACGAGTTCTTCAGTATAAAATTAAATAAATTATACTGATGATAGATATATACATATTTTTAAATGCATTGGATCCTTTGTTAGGAACTGTTTAATATTTTTTGTTAAGCTAAATATACTTAAGTAGATAAACTCATAAATTGTAATAGATTGATATTATATTATTTAATAAGTAAACGTTGAACTATATAAAAAATATGAAAACTATACTAATAGTTATGAAATAATAACATATTTTAAATGTGATATTTTTGTATATACGTGTTTAGTAAACAAGTTGCACCAGTCTCAAAACAAATATGTTTTAATTAAATAATTTTTATTTAACATATAAATAAATAACTGTTGTTACAAAGCATTTTAAAAAATATTAAATTTATATATATACATTGTTAAAATATCGAACTGTTTTCATAAAAATCTCTATCATTTGAGACCCTTGGATAGACGAATTGTAAAGGTGGATCTGATTGGAATCCATTATTTACTTGTCCATTATCCTGGACAGGCGTTTTACTTCTTTTGGGTGTGTGAATTTTGTATCTTCTCATTAACTCTTGGAGTGAAGCCCATCCAGATGTAGGGGGATTAGTTTTTGGAAGTCCTTTCGGTTTGCTATGAGAATAGGAAATATATGATAATGAACTAAACTTATACTAGTTTCACAGAGAAATCGATCTTATTGAAATTGATCAAATTCATCTGAAATAATTCTACAAAATTATCAGTAATAGAATTCAGCCGAATACTGTCACCACAATTATCATAGCGCATTATTATTATCTAAACAACCTATTGAAAAGTAAATGAAATAGGAGCAGGTATTCTTTTTTTCCTAATTTACATTTTGTTATAAAACATTTAATTTATAAAAAAATAAGAAATGATATCTGTAACAAATAAGTTATTTGCTTTTATTTGAATTTTCTTATATATGAATTTTCTTATATATGAATTTGGGCATGAGGTAGATAAATTTTCAAATTTTCAATAACTATATTCATTTTTTCGGTGGTGTTGTTATTTGGCAGTAATTTGCAAGTCGTCATTAAAATTGTTAAATGTTAAATGTTTTATATATGTAATTGTGTTAAATTAGTTAATTTAACACAATTACATATATAATACCATGTTTCAAAGAGATCGTCTGAGTAATTCTGTATTTAATATTCAGAATTCTGAATATTCTCATTAGAGCATATAGTTGTTTGATATTAAACTATATGCTCATTAGAATATTGACTGTTACTTAATTCAACTGATTGGATATTAATATTTTAGTTGTAAAGATTTTTGCTGTTTAATATTAAAGTAATAATATCTTCATAATATTTTTTTAAAATTAGTAATTAGTAAGTTTGAATCAAAATATTTACCTTTCTCCGAAATCACCTCCGCCAATCGAAATGTTATCATATAACCAAGTGTTGCCTTGCATGTGCTGTTTTGGCTATGAAATACAATAATTGTTTCAAAAATATTATCTGAGGAAATTGTAAATTTCAAATCGGTAATTTGTTTCAAAATAATTAAGCATTGGCTGACTTAACTCAAATCAAATTCATCAAAAATCAAATTTATTTATCCAAAATAATTTATTCAATATTGCATGGAAATATTTTAGAATGTTGTCATTAGTACTTCAGATTGTAGGTAAATAATGATGGCATTTTTTTTTTATTATGAATTTAATGATATTTGTTTGCGTATTGATAGTCAAGAACGATGATGCAAATCTCCAAATCGATCGATTTATCAAAATGTGTAGAAAAATTGAATTGCCGGTGAACTATTTTATTAACCTATACTTAATTGAAAAAAATGCTATGCATTGTTCTTACCATTTTGGTTTTCTCTGAAAGTACAGTAATTGTCGTGATATATGCTATCAAACATGCATTTATAAACCATAAAACAAATCCTCTCATTGCCATTGCCATCATAAGCCCAGCAGCCGTTTGCATTGCCAGAGGCTTACCGCCTAATATTGAGTTTAACACCTGAAAATAGGGTAAATTTGTAACATCTTCTTCTAAATCAGTTTAGGATATAATAGGATATAGTATAATAGGACAATTAGGAATTTAATATAATTTTTGGAATTTTCAAAATTGAATTTTATGTGGGATTGTGAGAAGGCCTTCAGTAGTGTTATTGTGATTCACAATTTGTGAACAGATTTTTTCGTAACCACACTGAACTTTTTAAGAGCACAATCTTATAAAAACTTTTAGGGAAAGGTCGCTGAATTGAAAAGTTTGACTAAACACTTACTAGATTTTAATGCATTTACTAATTTTAGATATTCCAAGAAAATCATAAAAGCAATATTTTTTGCTATACTTCAAGCAAACATTGAAATTACTGTTTACCTACCTATTTCCATCAAGATGATGAATTAATCAGGATCAGATAAAAATCTTCTATTTACTTACCTGAAAATCGTGAATGTGCTGATAATCTAAACCAAAGAATATGGCCAAGATGAAATCCATTATGCAAACAATACTCGTTATAACCAACCAGGCTATGACAATCAATTTACTTGATCTCTTAAAGCGAGTTTTGCCTGTAAATTTTTTGACATTATATTTATAAATGAGTTATAGAAGACAATGATTAAATATAAAGCGATATAGGTATCAATAACTCATCAGACTTACTCAAAATACTTACTCATTGCAAGAAACAATGAAGAGATAAACCAGAAAAAGCTAACAAAGAGATACAACCACATCCAAATATAAACATCTTCAGAAGTGCTCAGTTTTTCTATTTTTGGCATTTGTGTTGGATCAAGAATTGCCACACATTCCTTTTCTGAAACATATCATGATAGGAAAATCAAAAAACTACTCAAATTTTTTAGTAAAAATACATTTATTAATAAAAATTGTTTCATTACGAAGTATTAACTATTAAATATTAAATTAATCTTTTTCTCAAGGCATTTGCAAATTTATATTTCCATTTAATGATTACTACAAATTTCTTTCCAACGCTGATGTTTCTTTGAAGTTTTTCTCTTAAAAAGGCTAAAATACCCAAGTAAAATATCGTAAAAAAACTAAGATATAAACAAACAATGCTATCAAGTTTTGTATCAGCGGAAATTGTGAGAGAATTGTTGAACAACAAGTCAACAAGTATTTGGAGTATATAGATACAAAATTTACGCTATATTTTGTACTAATAAAAGCAAGGCGATCGTGGGGTTGAAACAATTTAAAAATCAGTTAATAAATAATACTAGAAAAATCTACAATCCTTTAAATGCTTAAAAAATCCTATAATACCAGATTTTTCTGTAAGGTAATTCCGTGGAACTGATGGCCAAAACTCAGAATCGTTTGGAGCGCCATGGTTGATTTTTTGAGCATAAAAGAGGTTGCACATTTTCTTATAATGTATGAACATTATTATTAAGAAGCTTTAGTTCTAATAATTCCTAGTGAATTAAGAGTATTAGTGAATTTGATTTTAGTTATTGTTACCTCTAAAATATTGATGATAAAGTATCGTTGACAATGCATCTTTATCAATCGATGTTGCCGGAACCAGACAGCTGTGCGCTATCAGCCCGGTTATTGACAGTGCCATCCATATTAGAGATTGGGGCTGAAAATAATATTATAATTGATCAACGACTTATAAAGAATTTATTGATGATATTTTTTTCTATTCTCTAATATTTTCTGTAATAATATGAATATTCACGATGTCCCAGAACTCAATTGATCCCATGTAGTTTGAAAATTATAAGGTTTTAAGACAGCCTAGACCACCCTAGAGCAACCTTTTTATCCCACTGGCCAATTTAAATTATAAATTTTTAAGGCGGGCCGCACGTAATTTATATATGTATATGTATATATATATATATATATATATATATATACTAGGTGACCAGACAGACGTTATTTTGTACCCATGTCTACAATTTTTTAATATAATATACTAACATTTACCGTTTACCTAAAAATAATGATTATTGTTTTTTATTACTCTTCACGCCAAAATGCATATACATTTATAATATGAGCGATGTTGAATGTAGAATATTGTGGAAAGATTAGTAAAAGATGCAAAGAAATTATATATTAAAAAAAATACTTCAAAATTTAATATCCGAATCTTGTGTTGGCGCCTCCTAAGCGTGCGCTCGTATTTTTCGTATGCATCGCATTAAAGGCCCCTGATTAATACTTAATTTCTGATTTTAAGTGAATTAATTTGTCATAACCTGTTCATATGTGTATCATTCAATCTGCTATACATATAGTGTATTTTATATTATTTTAATTTCTGGCACATCTCAGCTGCTTTTTGGCAATTATAATGTAAACGTTTCATTTTTTTATTTATGATTATAAATTTATTATACATACTCTAATATTGTCTAGGTTCATAAGTAAATTGAAATTTGTGGCAGATGATAGTTTTTGTTTTCAACTTAAACAATGACATATCGTTTTTTACATTTTTTCCATTTATTTCTACATATACATCCCAGCACTTTACAATCACATACATCCTAGAAAATTTCTTTAATAAACTTCAGAAAGTTTAGAAATTTATCCGAATAATCGTTTAGAAGGAGTATTCAGTGAGTGCTTGTAATTTAATATGAACTTCAAATAATAGCAATAAAGCTCAAATTGATTCTACGTTTTAGTTAGAAAACGTTTGTATGTGAAAAAGAAAAGGGCTGTTTTTAGGGCTTTTCTGGCAACTATTCGATTTTTTTTCGCCGTGAGAACCATCCTTGGACATCAACGAACATTTTAAAAAAATAATTGGCCAAATTGGTTCAGGCGTTGTGGGGTTATGCGCTTACCAACACATTTTGCGATTCATTTTTTATATAAGATATACTAGCTGACCACAGCCACATGGAATATTTCTGGAACATTATTATCTAGTATGAAAAATAACTAACTAATTCTGAATATATAAAAATGTGGTATTTAAATGAAAGGGGCAGCTTACACAAATTACTTTGATAATTCACCCACTGTAACGCTAAAATAATAACATTCATTTTTGAATTACGTTATGTGTTAATTAGAGAATCGGAACTCTGAAAAAAATCCAGTTTTCTCTCAAAAACATAAAAACAATTTTTTTTTTTGAATAAAATTGAAGCTTTTTCATAAACTTAAAAATCTGACAAAATTAGCCTTTACAGTCGTGTTTGATAAAATATCTAGAAAAATAATTTGGTTGAGAAATGCTTGGCGGGCCGCGGGTTGCTCATCCTTGGCCTAGACCCGAGCTTTGGTCAAACTGTAACCATTTTTTGGTTATGGTTACGAAACTTGGCAATTCTATTTGATAATTTATTTTAAATTTAATGTATTAAAGAAAAACTTTATATATGACTCACATGGCTCTATATTAAAACTTTTTTTTATCGACAGTCAGTCTTATAGGTTTTGTTCCTGATAGGCCAAGCTTTATTGCAAATACATCGTTTGTGTCGCACATCTGTGATTGACGTTGCCTTTTACCAAATTGTGTATGTCAGACATATACGTTTAACGAGGCTCGTGTAGAAATTCTTAGCACACACATGACTTACATGGCGATTAACGTATTAAACGATAAATTTCAAATTTTCAAAGTTTGTCGACTTGTACAATACTTGTTAATTTCATACTAAAGATTTCAAAACAAATGTTTTTCGTTTGTATTCAGGTATATGACATTCAATATGAGCTTTTTAATCGTCATTGGAGGCACGCGTAATATGTGTAATGACTTTTACATTCTCAATATTTATATTTATATTATTATTATTATATTTTTGCATACTTGTGCGTGATCTGTAATGAAAGCGAAAACAAGGCAATTGCAATTTGCAATACGTTGAATTTACGACATTATAAAAAACCATGACGCATTTGAAAAGCAGTCGGATTGCAACGGTAATTATACTTATGGTTTACGAATCGTTTGGAAATTTCATATTCAGATAAAATTATCGTTTGCAATTAGTGATAACTGTCTAGCAATTAACCATAACATGCTAGAATCTTTCAGCAAACTAAATGTAAATATTATCAAGTTTTGTAGCCAAAAAAACTAACTTATAATTTAAGAAAAATTTCTTATTTCTTACCAACTACATCCAATTTCTCTATATAATGATTTTATAAAACATGAAAAATGGCAGTGTTCCATAAATGCTGAAATGTTCGATGACACTTGTTAAATGCTTGTTATCGTATTTTTAACTTTCTTATTTTAGGAGAGCTTAAGAATTTTGCTAGAAAATCCGATTTGTTAATTTTATATTCTCTAAACGTTTTAATTCAGGCTAAATAGTTTGACACCAAATTTGGAAAAAGTATGTGCGTGTGATAAAAGACTAAACTTTCGACCTTGTTTTCTCAAAAACAGCTGCACCGATTTTAAAAATTTAAAGTCCATTGATGAAACTCGAACTTCCCGAAGTTTATGTTTTCATAAAAAAAGCCTATTTGCTAAATTTATGTTTTCTCGATGTTTCAAGCCATTCTGAATCGAATGAAACTAAATTGGGATAAAGTATGTGTGTGTGTGTGTGAACAATTTTTTTTGGTTCTTAATCGACGTTTGCTCAAAAACGGTTAGACCGATTTCAAAAATTTAAAAGCCATTCGATGTATCTCGATAAGGACTAGCATTTATCAATTTTGCGCGACGATCAGCCAAGCCGTTTCTTTGTAAATAGCAGAAAAGTGAAAAATTTTCGTCCACGTTTTAGCCCGCAAGTGTGAATCGATTTTGAAAATTCAAAAATTGTTCGAAACATATTGGTTGGGAATCGTGCTGACTGGTTTTTTGTTAAAAATTTTTTTTTTCGACGATTTTTATGAATTTTTTTTGACGGTATATATACCATAGTCTTTTAGATTATACTAAAATATTACGGCTCTATAACAAGTCATTTAATTTTAAAAATTCGTCAAAGTTTGCACAAATTACAACGATCGGCTGAGCCGTTTCTTTGTAAATAGCAGAAAAGTGAAAAAAATTTTGTCTACGTTTTAGCTCTGAATCGATTTAAAAAAATCAAAAACTGTTTGAAAGATATTGGTTGAAAATGATACTGATTAGTTTTAGATAAAAATCTACCGGGTCGTATTCTTGATAAATTTATTTTTGAAATAAAAAGTTGAAAATTTTATCTAAGTATCTAAATTTCAATTTCGATTAATTGAGTCAATTCTTACTCATTTCGGGAAGTTCATGCAACTTGCCTTAAGGCTAAATGAGACTTTCAACTAGTTAATTAATTAAATGAAAAAGGTACATAAAACTAACATTTAGTACGCATCATTGACAAAATTTTTGAACCTTTTTATTTAGCATATTTCACTTTTTTGTGCATTGCAGCATTCTTTTGGATTTCATTTGGATAAAGGTTTTTCAAAATAATTTATATATATATATATATATATATATATATATATATATATATATTTATATGTATTTGAAATCAACTAAATTTAATACCCCAGTTTAAGTACTGTTGCAGTAATAATTTATCAACTATACGATTATCAGATAACAATTAAAAGACATTAAGAATTAAGTTATCAGTAATTGTAAATAGATTAGAAATACTTATGGATAAAATTAAATCAATAGAATTTTTAAAACATTCTGTCATAATTATGTTTTCAGAAATGAATTGATTGATATATAATTTGATAATTATACTCACGATCGAAATATATGCGGCTGCTTTTATAACATTATCCTTTGATGATGATCTGGACATTTCTGTTCCTGATTTTCCACGTGTAGTAAACATTATTGTTATCAAATATCAGTATTTGGTTGCACAAATTCAATTTTAGTTATATTAATTTAAAATCATGTCTTTAAATAATTTGATCTTAGTTTCTGATAAGTAAAAAATTATTTTTTTTTAATTTAATTATTTTTGTGCAGCCAACATTGCTCAATTGAAGTGCACGATGATAACTTGTAAAAGAATAATTACTACAAAAGATGTTAACCTATTTAATAAAAATTATTCTTTATACTATTATTTTTATATTTTATCATGTTATATCTGTATGCTATGAAATATTACAATATGCACAAATAATTCGAATTCAGTGCGTTTTTAAAGAAAGGATACCGTTCAGATATTTAGACTTGTACAATATAAATAGAAGGTAATTGCGAGTTGTAAATTGCTTTAAAAAAATTGTCTTTAAAATTTAAGTTATGAATTCTTTTACTGTTTATTAATTATGCATTCCAAACGTTCAGTCGAATAGAACGTATACAGAAGACTATTTTTTTATTTAATGAGAGTGCAGAAAGTACCAATTCAATTAGTAAGATCAATAGGACACACCTTGATAATAATAAATAATTATCTTAACATATATAAAATTGGTGATATTTACAATTAATTAGAGTTAACGAAACTGTCCTTTTATTATATTACAAAAATATAACTTCAATTGATAGCAATATCACCTCAACGTCAATTTATGTTAGATAATTAATTTAACGTACGAGGTTGGCCTGTGATTAATAATATTGTTAGATTAGAAATTTATAACATATTTTCACATTTTGCTCAATATTTAAGTAAGATTCACCAGAAATCACTCTTTTAATAACAGGATATTATAGTGCACTGAACAAAATTATTAATCCAAATAAGAAAATTAACTTTAAGAAACATTAAGCTTTTATTACACATTAACTTTTTATTAATTTATTGTTAAAGAGATTTTTAGAGAATCTTTGCTCATTACAATGTTTCACCTCATACTGTCGTTCCCTATTACTTGTTACATGACGAACAACTAAAATTTCCGATATTGTACTATAAAATATGATGTTATAAAACATTATCTATATTTGATGACTTATCGCAATAATATTTCGTTATTCTAGTGTTTTATCTTGTATTACGAATTTGTGCAGGCACGCATTTAATTGCATTTTCAGATTTCAGATGAATTTAAGATTTTAATCATAGTCAATATTTGGATTTGCTTTGATATCCCTATATCAATATTTGGTGGTTAGTGCTTCAACATTCATACATAAGATATGTATTATATCTATAATATAAAAATGAATCGTAAAATGTGTTGGCCAATTCTTTTTTTAAAATGTTCGTTGAAGTCCAAGAATGGTTTTTACGGCGAGAAAAAATTGAATAATTGCCGGGAAAACTCTAAAAACAGCCCTTTTCTTTTTCACATACAAACGTTTTCTAACTAAAACGTAGAATCAATTAGAGCTTTATTGCTATTATATAAAGTTTATATTAAATTGCAAGCATTCATTGTATACTCTTCCTAAACGATTATTCGGATTTTGATAAATCTTTCTGAAGTTTGTTAAGGAAATTTTCTAGGATGTATGTGATTATAAAGTATTGGGATGTATGTGCAATATTGTAGAAATAAATAGAAAAATTGCAAAAAACATGTCATAGTTTGCATTGAAAACAAATGAAAACTATCATCTGCCAAAAATTTCAATTTACTTATGAAAAATGAAGTGTCTACATTATTATTGCCATTATTATTGCGATAAGATACAGTATATGTATGGCAGATTGAATGAGCGCATGCCTTAGGGGTGCGCACACAAGATTCGGATATTAAATTTTCAATATAGTTTTTTTTTCAATATATAATTTCTTTGCATCTTTTGCTAATCTTTCCACATTATTTTTAAAATTCGTAAAAATTTCACTTTATAACAACAAATGGGAAAGTAAAGTAGAATACATACAATTTTGGACTTTTTAAATAATACAAAATTAAATTAATTTAATATAATATGAAGTACAGTTGTTATGTTATGGTTATGGTGATGTTATACCTTTTAAAAGACTTCAATTTTCAATATAGTGTGGGAATTGAGACTCAACATTATATTAATAGCAGTTCTACATTTAACATCGCTCATATAGTAAATGTATATGCATTTTAGCGTGATGAGTAACTTAAAAAACAATAATTATTATTTTTAGGTAAACGGTAAATATTAGTATAATATATTAAAAAATTGTAGACATGGGTATAGGACAACGTCTGTCGGGTCATCTAGTAGCGAATAAAAAGAGATGCAAGTTTATTTACCCTAGTATGCCTTATTGATTTTGGAAATCATGTTCATCAACACAACTAATTCAAAATACGTATTTAATCAGGGATCGATATTGGCTAATACACTAGCCGAATCATAATTTACTTAATTAAATATTATTGTATAAATTCTAAACGCAATTATTGTAAAGCACGGCTTGTCTTAATTATCTATTTTACAGAAGTTGATCTTACTAAAATATTTTTTTGCATAATGGTTTCTTTTGAATTTTCTAGTAAATTTTACAAAAAATGTGAGTTAGTAAATGAAACCAATATAGTTTAATTCAATTCGTTACATTGATTTTACAAAGTTACATTTTAAGAGTACAAACAATTCGATTGATGATTTTCATTGAATCTTTTGCCATGATTTCTCATTTTACATAGAAAAATTTGGTATTGATTAAATTGAGTTTAATTCAAAATTATCAATACCCTTTTTTATAAAAAAAGTAATTATATTATATAAGTAATTATTAGCGTATTTATAATTATTTAATTCGCTACTGTACCTAAAATATTATGTTTATCTGATATAATCTAATCACAGAAATATTTTCTACGCCTGTTATTACAATAATTTAGCGGAATACATGGTATACGAGTAATATGCACGCATATATATATATTATATATGTATATATATATATATATATATATGTGTATATTCCAAGGTGCAGCGCGCTTTCAAGAGTTTTTTTTGAGAGTGCTTTTTTCATGTTTTCTGGGGAATTAATTATTATAATTATTTTTAATAAAATCAATGAACTTATGCCAGTGCTAGTGAATGAACCTATGTCAGGTATTTAAATTATTGATTATTATTTACTAATTTTTGTTCACTTTTGGACAAAATCACATACTTATATAATTAAGGTGGCCATACGTCGGGGTGAGTCTCGGATTTTCACCTTGTGTCCCGGGTTTTTCTAAAGGCAATATTTGTCCCGGATTTCGATTTTTTGTCCCCAGTCATCCCGGTTTTTCGAAAATTAAAATTAAAATTCATAAAAATAATTATGAAAACAAACGAACAAGTGTTATTTTTTTCAAATTAATTATCAAAAAAATTTAATAGAATTTTATACAAAGCTCATGTCAAAAACTCCATGTCATAATGTCTGTGCTTCTTCCACTAGTACTTTCTGCTCTTAATATTTTTATAAACTACGCATAATATTTACAAATTAATTATATTTCTGTCGCTAAAAAACAATTTACACATAAGTTGGTATATTTTTTGCATCATTCATGCGAGAATAGAAAGTAGATTTTACGTATAAACGTAATGAACAAATATATTTGCTTCTAGTTCGCATAATTAACTTCCCGTTAATGAAATAAAATCGATATTCTTATGTTTTATGATCCCCTGATCATTTTGCAATTATTTTTTTTAAAAAAAAAACATTGCTATGAGTGAACCGATTTGGATGATTCAAATTTGGCAATACCAAGGAAATAACAGTAGCTTTGATGACAAATTTTCACGTGAAGTTATAGATCTCTAATATAACCTCAAGTGAAAATCTCCCCTCGTTGGTATGGGTGCATTTATAATCATAAATATGTCAACAAATACTTCTAAATAGTTAATTAGTCACAACTGGATTGGACAACTACTGTGTTACCATATATTCAAGAAGCCATGTTATAGTCGAAGCGATTAGTGAAATTTTAATTAATAGTATAACAAAGTAAGATTCAACAATTTTAGGTTAATGCAGATAATTTATAAAAAAATGGATAGTATATTGGGTTTCATACAAATATTTGGAATTCTCTAAATACCTAGAACTATATAACAAGTGAGTTTTGAGATCAGAATCTCTTATGATTCACTTTTAGCAAGCATCTTAACTATTTAAGCGACTCTTATGTTTTTTTTGGTCGAAGAATTCAAAAAATCTAGTTTTGCCATAACAACAAATAAACAATTTTAAATATCAGAATAGATCTTTTGATATCATAAATTTTTATAATTATGTAACTTAGATGGAGTTTGGGATATTACTAATTTACAGAGTTTTCTATACTTTTATTTATTTTTCCGATTGGTCTGTTTTGTGGATTTAAGCGACATTCCATTACAATTTTGTCCAAATCAATTATTGACCTGCGATTTGTTTGAATCGAGTTCAAGAAAAAATAATTTCTTAGAAGGAAGGGTTAATATTTGGGGGTCTGCAAGGGACATGATACATTACAATGAAGGATTCGGTTTTTTAATGCTTATTCTGTTAGAAAAGTATTAGAATATATTTGAATGATTTAGAATAGGGTTGAGCCTTAGGCGTTAACGAATGATTATTTATAACTTAGATACAAAATCATTTCAATATAAATTTACTTTATGAATTATCATTCGTATGTTTGATCCTATAGTAATATTTTATACATTGCTTACAGTAATCACGTTTCATTTTTTTATGAATATTAGTGTTTGATAATCGTTTGTATGGGATATTTCAGCAATATGCCTAAAGGCACAATGATATACACACTAGTTTAGCTATTAATTAATTAGGCAGTATTTGACAATGTAGCTAAATGCTAATAATAATTGCATTGTTAACTTGTACAATAAGTTGTCCTGAAACGATCGTATTAATGAATATGCCATAATCTTCACTATTTTTATTCATAACTATATATTTTTATTATTTTCACTTACATTTATGCTATCAAATTACAAGTACTTGTGCAACATAAATATTTTATTATATGTCTTAATTATTTTAATACTTAAAATGTAGTTACGTACAAATATTCAAC